GTGGCGTTAGTCAAAGATGCTTTTCGTAAAACTTTAGGAAAAAGAACCTTACAATGGGAAGAAATGTTAACGTTCACTACAGAAGTTGAAGGAATCTTAAATATGAGACCTTTAACAACTATAGATGAAAATCCTGACGTACCGGGATTAATTCCCTTGCGACCTGTAGATTTTTTATGTCCACAACGGAATCTATGTTTAGAATTAGAAATTCCTAAAACAGATGACTCAATAATGAATTTTGTAATCAAATATAAAGATTCATTTGTATTTACAGAATTTCTCTTAAATGAATTATGGAAACGTTGGAAAAAAGAATACTTAATCTTGTTGAGAGATAGAAGTCAATGGGCAATGAAAGGTCCTCGTTCTCAGACAAAAAGAGAACCTAATGTTGGTGAAATAGTGATTTTGGAGGAAGAATTTGTCCCCAGAAATTTATGGAAAATTGCAAAAATTGTAGAATTATTAGACACAAAAGATGGACGTTGTGTGAGAAATGTTAAAATTTTGTTGCCAAATGGAACAATTGTCTCACGACCAATTAATAAACTATATCCTTTGGAATTAAATATTGAAAATAAAGAAACTGAAAGTATTAAAATTAAAAAAATTGAAGAAAATTTAAATGAAAAAATTGAAGAAAAATCAAAGGAAATTAAAACAGTGAATCAGATAAATATTATTAGTAAAGAATTAACAAAAAATTTAATAAACATTTCAACTATATTATTTACTTTTTGTTTAATACTATTTATGTTTTGTATAGTTACAGCAAAAACACAGTGTAATGATTGTTTGGTTGAATGTAATGATAAAGGAATTTTAATTAGTTCACCGGAAAAAATAGATAAATATGAAATTTGTTGTAGTGATGGACCATGTACAACTCATTCTAGAGTTGATCAATTTCAATTTGAAATAAATAAGGAAACACTCGTTACACATCATCATTGTGAAGTGAATTTTTGGTCTAAAACTAAAAATATATTAAAATATGAAGTGAAATGTGAGCCGAGTGATCCGTGTAAACTTATTCCATGTTATTTTTGTTTGGAAAGAATGATCAATCACACTTGTTCACCGTTCATATCGCTTTTTTTGATAGCTTGTTCCACAATTGCATTTGTCTTTTTTGCTTGTTTAATTTGCTGTATTCTCAAAAACACGTTTAAATTGATAAGCTGTTGTTTTCCGAGAAAAATTAAACACAAAAATTTGTCAAGAAATAAAAAACGTTGGACACTTAGAAAAAGATTATTGGTCTTAATATTATTTTTTATTAATGAATCTAATGGAGAAATAATTTCAAGGACTGCTCGAACTGAAACTTGTTTTCGTAAAAATGGAAAAATTGATTGTTCATGGAACTTTGCTGAAACTCTAACTATGACAGATAATAAAGAAAGACAGACAATAGTACTTAAAGATAATAAAAATAAAATTCTCGGACAGATAAATTTAACCCCAGAAGGATTTAAAATGAAATGTGAACCAATTATTGAAAAATATTTACGATCATATGAAGTTAAAATTCAAACAGTTAAATCTTGTCCCGAAACTGGAAGTTGTCACCATGATAATTGCCTTATTGTTAATAATAACTGGGAACAAGACATTAAAGAATTGGAACCTTGGAAAAATTACACCGGTTATAATCGTTGTTCCGCTTCATGTAGTTTTCTCTGGTGTAAATGTGGAATGAGTACCGGTTCTAGTTGTCTGTTTTATAGAATTTACGTGGAACCGACAGACCCAGACATTTATGAAGTTTTTACTTGTAAATGGATTCCTATATTCACGTTTAGTGGTGAAACAATTTTTCTGAGTGAAGAAACAAAAGAAAATCAAGAATCTTTATTCGAAGTTCAACCCGGAATGATAGTTCATGATAAAAATTTTACTATCTCTGTTACTCAATTTTCGTTACCTCCAGAACCAGAAATGAACGGAAAATTTATTGGAAATAAAAAATTTGTATCTTTAATAGATGATATCTATTCGAATGTACATTGTAAAAATTATTTGGCTGCTGAGAAATTCGAATGTGATATAAAGGAAGAAATATGTCAAGAATGTCTCCCCGATCATGACAATGAAAAAGTAGATTGTAAATGTAAAAATTTAGAATTAGATAGTTTAATATTAGATACTCAAAGAATATTGCCGATAAAAACACAGACATTAGATTTGAATTATGATGGTCTAAATGTGTATTCCGAAATTTACGGAATGCCTTTTGATGTAGTAATAAAAGTAAACAATTTAAGACTTGTAACTGTCGATGATTGGAATAAATGTGAAGTAAAAATTTTAGAATTTGGAGGTTGTTATAATTGTCGCACCGGAGCTGATTTGAATTTCACATGTAAAACTAGTAATGGAATGGCTTTAGCTGAAATTTTTTGTGATAAAGACATTGCGTTTACTACTAAATGTTCAGAAGTAGGTGAAAATGTAATACAAAGATTAAACTTTGATCACGCTCATATCAAATTAGATTGCAAAGTTGAGTGTTTAGGTGGAACTACTGATTTGAAAATAAACGGAAAATTATTTTTAATTGATATTTTGGAATTTGAAAATAATAGACATGTAATTAATTCAGATGTTAAAGTAAATGACAACATAAATAATCAATCCATTTGGAATTATGTTGAAAAAATGTTAAAAAATTTAATTAAATCGGACTTAATAGAATTTGTGTTACAGATAAAAAATTTTTTAATACTTATTGGAATTTTGCTGTTCTTTTACTTAGTATTTTGTATTATAATTAAGTTAAAATTTGTTTTTCGAGTATACAGATATTTATTAAAATTCGTTATTGTATTCATGTTTTTTGAAGGGGGAGGTTGTTCTAACACAAGTTATTGTAACACAAGTCTAATACAGAAAAATTCAGAAATTAGTCAAATTTTTTACATAAAAATTTCAAGAAAAATTACATTAAAGGAAAAAAGTTCAGAAATTACATTGTTAAAAAGTTTAAATCTTTTATCTCCATTAATATTTACCTACATACAATACATAGAGTTTAATAAAGAAAAAGTACAAATTGATAAATATTTAGAATATAAAAATTCTATGTTAATCTATGAATCATTTCAAATAAACATCTCAGCAAAAAAGATGGTTTGTAAAAAATTTTTGTGGTTAGTGAGAAAGAAAATTGAAGAATTTTGGATAAATAAAAAAAGAATTGATTCATTATTAAACAATTTTTCCTCACAATTGTTTAAAAGAAAAATTTTGAATTATTCTCGTTCATTTTATTTTTACATTCATTTTACAATGTTTTTATTTTACCTTTATATTAAAATAGGTTTATTTAGTAAACCTACGTATTTGTTTATTGTTATGTTCAAAATATTTTTTAAATTTTTTAGTTCAAAAATTATGCCACCTAAATCTACACCAGCTCCTCAAAAAGTTATAAAGGGTGGAAAAGGAATTAAATTATCTGACAATGCTTTTAGTGAAGAAAGTGAGCATTCAGATTTCTCTGAATCTGAAGTAACTATTGAATATGAATCCGACAATTCTGAACATCTTCATGCTTCGATTAATGATAACAAATCTCCTTCAAAAGAAAAAGAAATAGCTCAAAAGGAAAAATCTACTAGTAAGTCCATTGAAAAAGAAATAATTAAAAGAAGCTGTACTAATTGTAAAAATAAAGGATTCTCACCTGAAACCTACAATAGTCACATTTCCTCGAATAAAAATTGTCCTTGTAAAAGCTTACAAATTCCTGAAATTGTTTCAAGCAGACCCGACTTAAACGATAATTCTAATAAGGAAAAGACTGTTGAAGAAATCGATCAAAAAATAGAAAAATTTTTTACAGAAAGTGAACAATTTAAAATTTCAGATAAAGAAAAAGAATTACGAAAAATCCAAGAGAAGGAAAAGGAGGTTGGAATAAAAGTAGTAAATTCTATATTAATGAAGCGTACGGAAGATGACGTTAAAGAGAAAATGATCTTACCAAAAATTCCAAAAAGAAAGTTGCCAATATCTGAAGAAATATTTTACAATTCTCCTGTTCAAATTATTGTTCCCAAAAAAGTTGAGGAAAAAGCTTATACAGTATTGAAATCAAAACGAGAAAAATTAGTTAGTGAATGTAAAACTCAATCATCCAATTCTGATAGTCGTGGTTCTCATTCTCGTGAAGCCGGTTACCTCCTACGTATTAGAGCTTTGACGTCTGATTGTTTGAGTTTAATTCCCCGTGATGGATGCCGAACTGTGGAAAAGAGAGCTGAATTTTGGACTAAACTAGAATTAATTAATGAGGCTATTCAACAAACAATTAGTCATGCTAATGAATGGGATATTCAACATGCGAGTCAATTTCAATCATGCTCAAATATATAAGAAGAAATTTAAAAAGAAAAAAAATTTTTTATAAAAAAATATTTTTTGTTTTTTGTGTTTCTTGTCCCCCTGAATGTCGCGAAAGGCGACTTATCTTTTTACCATTTTGTCTCCTGTCCTTTTTATCAAAAATATCTATTTTTAATTTTTTCCCTTTTTCATGCTTATTCATAAAAAACGCCTACATTCTCAAATTCTTTAAAATTCACTTTGTACTTTTGTGAAAATTCTATTTTTCTTTAAAATCCGCCCACTTTTTCTGACTATATATAATTTTGGGCTTTCTCAAATATTCAGAGCTCTTCTAGAATTTAATTGTGTTTAAATAAAGTTCCATCTTCTGTTTTTTTTTAAAGTTTTTTAATTTTAATTTTAAATAAAAGTTTTATTTGTTTAAAATTAATTTTATTGTTGGGAAAGAAATTCTCAACATGGTGGGTAAGAGCGCTGACTACAAAATCATCTTAAAATGGGGTCGCGGGTTCGATCCCAACGGTTGAAAAATGATTTGATTTCAATGAAAAAAAGTTTAAAAATATTAAATTAACAATTTTCAATGATATTTTAAATTATAAAATTTTTTAATATTTATTTTGAATAAAAAATGATTTTTAATTTTAAAAACTTAAACGCCTCTGCCTAATTTGAATGTTTTCTTGCGTATTTTCTGTTCTGCCTTTATCGTGCAAACAATTTAACATCCATTGATGCCTAAACAATTTCTCCGCTGACAAAACATCATCCCCAACATTTTCATAACGTGGTGCCTAAAATTGTTTTTAAAGATATTTTCAAAAATAAAAAATCTTACTAATCTATTGAAAACGCCGTGAAGACTCTCTAAACCTTGTTCATTTACCAGAGACCACCATCCATTTCTTCTAGCAAAGTCCACTGCATGAGCAGCCAGCAAGTGAAGTTTCGGAAACATCTAAGAATAAATAGAAAATTTTAAACAATTTAATTAAGTGGGCGCAAAACAGTCAATTCCCCTCTGAAAAAATTCCTTCTTCAGTATTTTTCTCTGATTAAAGGCAATCCCACTATTAAGCGTGACAAAAAGGTCTTCTTCAACATTAAGCTTTGATTCTCCAACTATTTGTTTGCTAACAGTTCTAATCAATTGATGAGTTGAACAACGCTCAGCACCTGATTTTTATAAAAAAAATAATAAATAAAACTAACTAGGACTCCTGTTTTTGATAAATTTTGCAATTTCATCAGCTCTTCTAATTTTTTGCTTATTTGCTAAATCTTCGAGTAATTTTCTTGGCCTTGATGCTGCTTCTTTACACTGCTTCTTCTTTTTTGATTGAATTACATTTTCTTCTTTTAAATTTTTTAATTGGGATTTTAAGAGTAAATTGTCGTATACTAGTTGAGTATATCGTTCCATAGGTTCAGTTTGAACACAAGCAACTTTCATTGTTGGATGTTCAGTTTGAACTGATTCATCTTTACATGTACGGGGGATTGTTTGTTGTTCTGTCTGTGATGCTGCTTCTTTTGTTTTTTGTTCAGAATCATCATCTCTGTCGGCCAATTCTTCAACAAAAGTACAAGCTGAAAAAAAGAAAAACAAAATTAAATTACGGAAATATGAAACAACCTGCCATATTGCAAGTCGAAACAGTTTTCGTTTTGGACTGTCTGGCTTCATAAGCCACCTGCCTCATCTTTTCCAACCTTTTTCCTCTTTTCTCGTGAATTTTTTTCGATGTTTTGCGAGTAAAAGGCATTTTTTTAAACTTGATTTATTCGGTCATGCAAAACCTTTTTTAAAATATGCAAAAAATTAATCAATTTGGTTTTAAAACAAAGATAAGACTCTCATTCATTATTTAAAATAAGCAAAATTTAAAAAAAAAATAAGATTCTCGAAAGATAAAGATTCTCGAAGTTGACATGTTCAAGCAAACAAATTTTATCTCAAATATTTAACGAAATAACACGCGAAAAAAATAGAGCGACAAAGAAAAAGAGATAAATTTAGCTCTTTTTTAATTAGTTGGCGTTCTGCCCCAATAAATGACATTTGTTTCGCTAGCGCCCTTGCTAGTCTGCTGTGCGCCAGGGTATCACGACTTTTGCGCCGAGAACATTTGCGCCGGGCGACTTTTGCGCCGCGACCCTTGCGCCGCGACTTATGCGCCGGGCGACTTATGCGCCGCGACATTTGCGCCGCCATTATTTAAAAAATCCGGATCCGAAAAAGGCCGGATATCCGAAATTTTCAGTTTGGATATCGGATCCGGATATCCGAAGATTTTCAACTATCCGACACCACTACTAAAGTGAGGTCCAGCTGTAGTTATCTATATATTTTTAATGATAGTGGCGGCGCAAAAGTCGCCCGGCGCAAAAGTCGCGGCGCAAAAGTCGCTCGGCGCATAAGTCGCGGCGCAAAAGTCGCGGCGCAAATGTTCTCGGCGCAAAAGTCACGGAACCACCGCCAGGACCGAATATTGATATTGTAAAATAATAGAAAAAATTTTGATCATATCCCTTTTGAAAGTTGAAATCCCGGCACGTTGAAGATTTGTAAAAGAGCGTTTAGAATTATTAAATAAATTTGAGTTATCAAATAAAATTAAGCTCAATTTATGAACAATTCCAAATTTGGGCAAAGGAATATGGCCCAGTTTATACCATTTGGCTAGGAGAAGATCCAACTGTCATTGTTACTGATTATGAAATTATGCGTGACCTTTTTATCAAAGAAGGTGATGTTTATGCTGGTCGAAACTTCTTGGTCGATCTTTTTAAAACGTTTTCAGGTATATCAAAAATTCGTAAAAATAAAATCCTTATACACATAAATGCACCTATTATATCAAAATCGTCAGAGCTTTAACCCTTTACGAGAGCCTAGGGCTAAAAATCGGTTTCGTAGGGTAATTCTTGTTCGTGATCACTTTTTTAGTCACGTCATTCTGAAGTGTAGTGAAAGTTATTATTAATTATTAACTCACATCATAATTTGAGAATTTGATTTTGATTATGAAATTATTACGGCAGGGCCCATTCCTGATTTATAATACAGACGAGAATTCTTCTTAAACTTTTTAAGCAGCAAAAGGCGATTATGGTGGTGTTAGCCGTACAGAAGGGGATCCATGGAAAGTTATGCGTCGATTTGGTCTAACGTCAATGCGTAATTTGGGTGTTGGAAGGGCTGGACTAGAAAAACATTTACTTGAAGATATGGAAAGATTTATTGAACAAATTAAAGAAGATATTTTAGAATATGGAGAATATAATGTTGATCTTCACAAGAAAATAGATCGCTTAGCTGGATCTACAGTAAATCGAGTTATATTTGGATATCCATTCGAAGATGTAATTTTCAATAAGCATTGCCTTAAAATTAGTAAATGCCGTGAATCTATTCTAATTTAAAGGACCAAATGTCAGATTTCTATGAATTAAAGCAACATATGGAAGAACAGGCTTTTTTGCTTTCATCAGTAACTGGCCATATGTTAATGGCAATGCCTTGGCTTCGTTATTTCCCTATATTTTCGCAATCATTTAATAAATTGGACAATAATCTGTCAAATGTCTATGAATTCCTTAAGAGACCGATAAATAAAAGAATTTCTGAAAGGGAGAAACAAACGGCTGAAGAGAGAGGAGAACCTAATGATTTACTTGATTGTTTTCTTGATCAGATAGAGGCAGGGAAAAGTGAATATTTTAGGTAATTTTTTAAATTAATGCCAACATATGGGTATACCACTATAATAGTAATTTCTGAAACTGTGTAAAATCGCGGTTTCGGTTCCTAGAATCTACCAATGATTCTCTATGTGAGGATCATCAATAGGTTGAACTAAGACATCATTGACCCTGATATCTAATAAAATTTTTTAACTGGAATGTTTATAATTACTTTTATTTCCAAGTTTGAGAAGTATAACACCCTTCTGTTTTGATTTATTTTTGGCTGGTGAAGAAACAACGTCAGTTACAATAAGTTATTTAATTTTATATTTAATACTTGACCAACGAGTTCAATCAAGAATGCATGAAGAATTAGATCGTTTGGAGGATGAAAAGGGCCGTATTGGATTTGATAATTCTGTTACACAAGCTGATAGAGGAAAATTACCTTTTTTAAATGCTGTTATTAATGTAAGGGATTGAGAATTTTTAATAAAAAAAATTAATTCTTAGGAAACACAACGTGTTTGTAATTTACTTCCATTAAATCTTACACACCGAACTATGGCTGATGCTCAAATTTTAGGAGGGAAATATCACCTTAGAAAAGGCATATCCATAATCCCACAAATTAGTTGTGTTCTATTTGATGAAAAAGTGAATGATTTTTATTTATAGAAAAATTATCAAAAATAATTTTAAAAATATTTAAGATATTCCCCAATCCTCTTCGCTTCGAACTAGAGTTGGACAAGTCGAGATCGATATCGATATATCGGTCTCGAATATCGGTCTTTTTCCAATATCGATATCGGTTTTATAGATATCGATCTCGAAATCGATACCGATATATCGACCCAAATATCGACCGATATCGATATTAACTCTACACCCCTAAAGATTGCTTTTTTTCTAAGAAATGGAAGAAATCTGGCCACTTGCCCTTCCAAAATTATAAAAATTTTCGCCTGCGGCGCTGTAAAAGAAAGAAAAAACCTTAACTTTCGGAATTGCCTTAACTTTTCCTAACCCCTAGATCTTGAAATATGGCGGATATTTTAAATGGGGGATATCAAGCTTCTTGGCCTTACGAAATTATCAAAAATTTGCTTGCACCGCTGTAAGTAGGATCGTCGCTGTAAGTAGGATTTATCATCCTCTAGGATCGTCACGGGTTGAGATAAAAATCCGAAATAAACTATTTAGGTGTAACAAATGATACATGGGATTTGGGAAGATTAGATGGATATCAAGCGAAGATTTTGATTCAGGGTCCTGGTATCCGTGGATTTCAGTTCGGTATTGGATCCGGATAAGGTGTAATTCGGATATGGGATTCGCATGGTGCAGTGTGATTTCTCCAGTATACGATTTAGGCAGTGAAGATTTTTGGCTTAAGGATCTTCCAAAATTCTCAAAATTTTCGCTTGCTGCGCTAAAAAAAGGAGATTTTTGGCTTAAGGATCTTCCAAAAATTTCAAAATTTTCGCCTGCGGCGCTAAAAAAGAAGATTTTTGGAGTGTTGCGCCGGTAGTTCCGGTTCCGGTAGACCAGAAGTTCCGGGATTTTTTGTTAAACATTTTTCTCTGTTCTCTTTAGGTGAGTATTAAGGTTAGTATTATTATTTCAACGAATTTTCTGGATTTGAGGGGTAATAAAAAAATTTTTTCAAATATTGGTTAATATCGAATATCGATCTCGATATCGACTCAAAACTTGCATATCGATATCGATCTCGACCATGTCAATATCGACCAATATCGATATCGGTTTTCTCCTAAAATATCGATATCGTCCAACTCTACTTCGAACCAGAAAGATTTTTGGATGATCAAGGTCAATTAAAACGTATTGAAGAATTTATCCCTTTTGGTTTAGGGAAGAGGTAATTAATTAATTTTCTAAATAATTACCGTAAAACTCTGAATAACTACCCTGGGTAATTATTGTTTCGATTTTCAGCTGGAGGGAGTAATTAATTGAGGCAAGGTAATTATATGAAATCTGAAATTTGAACGTGTTTTATGGTATTACTATTTCGATCTATCGCTGGAGGGGGTGATTAATAGAAGCGGGGTAATTAGTTGAAGGAGGGCAATTAATACGTTTTACGGTCTTAATAATCGAGGCTCTCATTCTTAGTTATCTTGGACAAATCAACCCTCGTATTTACAAAATTAAAAATGTACTTATTTTTAATTATGTACATAGAAATTAAACTTTTGTACTATAACTTAACATTTCTCGAATGAGAGCTTTGTGTATAAATTATTTTTAACAGAATTTGTATGGGAGAATCATTAGCAAAAACAGAATTATTTCTTTTTACTGCAAATTTCTTTCGCAATTTTCAAGTTTTACCGGTTGATCCTCTACATCCACCTTCTAGTGAAAAAATTGGCGGTAAGAAAATTATGGATACGCAATTACAAATGCGTCAATTGCAGATATAAAATTAAAAAAAATAAAAGATTTACTCAAGTCAATCGAGAAATTATTTGGAGATCGCGGAGTTTGTTAAAGATTTGTCCGGCACTATAAAATAAACTCTAACTTCAATATTTTTTTAAATTTTAAATCCGCAATTGTCGCATCTACAATTGTTATAAAACTAAAAAATTTAGGATTTATTGTAAAGCATCAACATTACAATTGTCGAATAATTGTGCGAGCAAGAAAGGAATCCTGAGAAAGAAAAAATCAAAGATGTATTTATTGTCTATAGACATACATTTAATTAAATTAATGTTTATTCCTTCAATAATTTTCATGTTTACATGCCCTTATGATTTAAAAAATAAAAAAGTTTAAGTCAAGATTTAAATTGTTTATTTGAGATTTTCATAGTTCTAATACTGTGAATGTCTTGCACTTGAATTATGGAAATAAAGCCGTTGTGGATCTGTTCAATACACTCGAACAGTAATGAGTCGTGTTATCAAAATAACGGACTTTTCCCAAACTCCGAAAACGACCTGATAAAATTTTGAACTGCGAACCAACTTTTCTCTTAAGACAACATGAAATAATATTTGATATGTGTTTATTTAATTAAAGTTAAAATTTAGCACCTGTTATTAAAATAATATTATTATAAGAAATTATACATAATATTTATAATTATTAATTTTTGAATTTAAATTAATATAAATCAAAAATATCTCTTATTTGAAGCAGGTGAAAGCTTAAAATTTTTATTTGTACTGTCTAAAAATAATTTTAAATGGAAGTTAATAACCACAAAAAACTAAAAGTAAATCGTGAAATTATTTAATTATTGTCATTTTTGAGAATTAAGATTTTGAATTTTGAGAATTAAAAGGTTTCACCTGTAAGAAGCTGTGATGGATTTCACCTGTTCGAAATGATATTTAAGATTAAAGAAGTCGGCACTATGCGTTTATACACACACATTTTCCTTTTCTTATCCTTGTTATTTCTCATACAAAAATTGTAAAAATGTTCAGAGGCAGATAAAATGAGTTAAAGTACTGTGGTAACCTTAATAGAATGGCCCTTTTAATTTGAATGACCCCCTCCAATAGAATACACTTTGGAGATGAATAAAATATACAATGGCATTTTGAATAGCCTCATTAATAGAATGCCACTTTAAAAATGATTGAGAGAAAGAGTTACCGGCCATTTAATAGAAATACCAAGGTACATTAATTCTACTTAATTTTTCTTTGAACATTTTGTAATATACTTGTAAGAGAAGTAAATGGACAAGTAGAAAATGTTGGTAGTACCGGAAGTCAATACTATTTATAATTATTTTTATTGCCTAGTTTAATTTGTCCAAAAAAGTCTTAATGGGATTTCACTTTACTCTCCCTTTCACTTAAAGACTTTATACACCCACGTAAACTTTTCTACAATTGCTCCTAAGCCTTAGGCTATTATTTACACATTTACGTGTTTTCCGTATTTTATCTAAGTTAAAGGTCAGTATTTTAATAATTTTAAATTTATTAATGTTTCGTTTAAGAATGTCGTGATAACTTTAAAATTTTATATTTGTCTTTTTGTTTAATTAAAATTTCACAAATTATTGTCACGAATAAGAATAAATACATAGGTATTTTATTTAATTAAATAAGGTAATAAGTAGTAACCCCCCCTTTTGTTGCACAACGTGCAACAAAAGGGACGGGGTGTTTGACATTTTTTACCACCCATTTGTTGCACAATGTGCAACAAATGTGTGATTGGCCAATGGAAACTTAAAGGTTTGGGAGCCAATGGGAAACAACCAATGGCAACAATTTTTTTTAACACACTATTTTTATTTTCTAACCACCCTTTTGTTGCAGGTCAGTAGTAACCACCCCCCAAATCGCTCACCCCAAATCGCTCCTTTCCCCCAAACCCAAACCTTTTGATGATTTTTTCTTTTGATTATGCCGCCAACCTATACCTTTTGAAGGGGTTCAAGGGAGATTTATAAAAGTGTGAGGGTAATTAATCATATTTAAAATAATTAATTACTTTTTGAAGATAAAGGGTGATGACAGGTGTCAGATAAATAAGTACGTTTAAGAAAAGAGCGATCTGGGTGGAAAGGTAAAAATTATCAAATTAATTAATTAATTTAAAATGTCAAAATTAATTAAATTTAAAAGGGACTTTCTAATTAAAAATAAATTTAAAAAATTAAATAAAAATAATATAAATTAATAAAAAAATAAATTTACAAAATTTTGACAAAAAATTAAAATGATTTCAAAAAATGAGCGGAAGTACAAATGTAAGGGGGCGGGGCTAATTATTTCGAAATACCAACTTTCAAAATGTCAACTGACAAAATGGTAAATTTATAAATTGGAGGAATTTAAAATTTAAAAATTGGCGGGAATTTCGAATTTAAAAATTAAAAGTTAATTAAAAATTCAAAATTAAAAAATTAAAAATATATTAATTAATTAATTAGAAAATGGGGAAGAAAAAATTTTTAGAAAATTTTGACAAAAAAATAAAATGATTTAAAAAAAAGAGTGGAAGTAGAAATTTAAAGGGATTTCAAAATTTGGGGGAAGGGGGTGGCATTTAAAAATTTTCAAAAAATTTCTGAGTGTCAGTGATAATAAAAATAAATTATAAAATTTAAAAAATAATTAATTAAAAAATGGGAGAAATAAATTGACAAAATTTTAGAAAAAAATTAAAATGATTTTAAAAAATGAACGGAAGTACGAATGTAAGGGGCGGAGCTAATTATTTCGAAATACAAACTTTCAAAATGTCAAGCGACAAAATGTCACACCGACAAAATGTCAAATGACAAAATGCCAATGTCCAAAAGGTCACCTGATAAAATGGTAAATTTAGAAATGTCAAGCGACAAAATGCCACATCGACAAAATGTCAAATGACAAAATGCCAATGCCCAAAAAGTCAACCGAAAAATGTTAAATTTAAAAATGTGAAGCGACAAAAGGTCACATCGACAAAATGTCAATTGACAAAATGCCAACTTTCAAAATGTCAATTGACAAAATGCCAAGTTACAAAATGCCAACTTTCAAAATGTCAAACAACAGAATGTCAAATTTCGAAATGTAAAAACGAAAAAATGTCTCAAGGACAAAATGCCACGACTGCAAAATGTCAATTTTCAGGATATCTAGGACTGGAAATTTCAGTCTGGGACTAAAATGTTTGAGTCTGGGAATTTCAGTCTGGGACTGAAATTTGTTGGGGACAGGGCTGCGGGATACGCTAAAATTATAAAAAATTAAAATTATGTTAAATTAAATAGAAATAAATGTAGATAAATTTTTACAAAAATTTAAAAATGATTTGCAAAAAAAGGGCGTAAGTCAGAATGTAAGGGGAAATCAATCAATTATTTCGAAATAACAAATATAAAAATATAAAAAGGACAAAATGCCACAACGAATAAATGTCAAATGAAGCTCAGTCGGGGAATGAAAAAGAATTTAAGTTTGGGGGCTGAAATATTCGAGTCTGAGAATTTCAGTCTTGGGGTTAAATATTTATATCTGGGAATTTTAGTCTGGGACTGAAATATTTTAGAGGCCGTTGAGCGGGGTACGTTAAAATTAAAAATAAAAATTAGAAATTATATTAATTAAATAAATAGAGAGATAATAGAGAGATAAATAGAGAGATAAATTTTACAAAATTTTACAATAATTTTAAAATGATTTGCGAAAAAGGGCGGAAGTCAGAATGTAAGGGTGAATTAACCAATTATATTTCGGGGTTGGAGGTAGAAAGTTAAAAAGTGACTACTGACTAAAAAAGTATTTTGAAATATCAAATTTCGAACTATAAAAACGACAAAATGCCACAACGACAAAATGCCACAACTACAAAATGCCAACTCTTAATTCGCCAAGTTTTTAAATGTCAACTTTCAGAGAATTTCAGTATGGGAGAAAAGGTCAAGGATAGGAATAGATTAAAATATATTAACTAAATAAAAATTAATTAAATAAATGTGGAGAAATAAATTTTATAAAATTCTAGAAAAAAAATAAAATGATTTGCAGAAATAGACGGAAGTAGGAATGTAAAGTGAAGTTGATAAATAATTTCTCGTTATAATTGGGGCTTGGAGGAAGAAAGTTAAAAGTGACTACTGACTAAAAAAGTGACTACTGACTACTGAAAATTAACTACTCTTATCATGTCATTTGCGGGAAAATTTCTTCTCGCAGTAAAATCAGATTTCTGTCTGGGGGCTGAAATATTTATTTCAGCGAATTTCAGTCTTGGGGCTGAACCATTTAAGTCTGCAAATTCAGTCAGGGGGTGAAATATTTTAGAGATCGGGTCTGTGATACGGTATAATTGAAAAAGTTGTATTAATTAAATAAAAATAAATGTGAAGAAATAAACTCCTTTGGATGTACAAATCTATCTTATCCGAAAATAATCTTTGAGTTAATCCTTAGAACTCATGGAATAGATATTTTTCTTTTTATCATCAAGAGTTTCTGAAATAACCAGAATTTAACGATTCCTAATTAAATATTTTCAAAATTTCTTTTCATTGTATTGAAAATCAAAATTCTCCTCTCTCATTTATTTATTCTCTATTTCACCAACCTAATCCTATTTGTCTCCTCAATTTTACTTAATTGTTGGAGTGGATAATCCCTAATTTTAAATCATTGGCCTTATAACTAATCCTTGAAAATGAGGACATTTTTTTTTGTCTTTTTTCATTATTGAGACACAATATATGTACATATTTATTGAAAAAATGTGAGTGAAAGAATATCATTCTGATGTCGCAAATAGAGAGATATGTTATCAAGTTATATTTTGAATTTCAGTTTAATTGGCAGTGGAAATCTATTAGATTAATTGGGATTTTTGCGAAATTTTGAAGATTAAATGGGTGTATAAATTATGAGTTTTGTTTATCCTTGATTCTGATAATATATAATTTGTTATTTTAATTTAATTTTATAATAAATTATCAAAAAATTTACTAATCATTGAAGTTAACGAAGCTCTGGTTTATTTTTGGATGTCTCACGTGTAGACAAAAAAAATATCCTTTAGAACTGTGTTCGAACCAGAGCAGCGCAGTTATTCATTGCCCTGTAACGGAGAGTGAGGGGTGGTGGTTTTAATTTTGCATATGATAAACTGTGCTAACTGCTAAAGATTTGGGTTGAGGAAAGAACAAGAATTCCCCAAGATATGTCAAATGATTGGTTCTCAACTTGGCTTAAACATTAAAAATTTCCCCTAAAAAATAATTTTTTCCACTTTTCCCCAAAAAACTTTTCAATACTTAATTACTCTTCATTTATTTCCCACACATTTCCCATCCAATCTTTTTCGCTCCAATTGTTTTTAACAATTTCGCGCGCGCCTTCAATTTAATTCTCAAGTATCAAGAAAGGAAAGGAATATACTTTAATTCTTCCTATTTTTTTCTAAAATTATTTTTCTAAATTACTCAATCTCGACTAAATGTCGAGTGTTCCCCTTCCCCTTCCCTTTCCCTTCCCTTCCTTTCCCTTCCCCCTTTCTCACTTTCTTGATGACATATCTTTATCTAAAATTATTTTTTATTGTTATTCATTCATTTTTGTGATGACCCCATCATTATGTCCCCAAAAACAAAACAAAAATTTTTTTGTGTGCAATAATGAAGTGGAGTGAATAACTGGGAATGGAATTGAGGAAAAAGTATTGATGGGAGAAATTAATAGAAATAAAAATAAATTCAGTTGCGCAATGTTTTGGTAATTTATAATTAAAATACTCGAGAAATGGTTTTTTGAAAGATAATATTTTTAAAATAATGTTTATAGGGGAAGACATGGGCCACTATCCCTAGCAACATGCTTTGACAACCAAAATTCTATAATATTTATTCGAATCCCCTCGATAAGTGATATCTTTTTTTCTGACTGGGTTGATCAAGTTTGATCACGCATTAAAAAATTTTTTTATTTGATAAAATGTGAAAAACACAAAAGAATTGATCGACCTTAATGAGCTTTAAATTATTTATAAGTGATCAGACTTGATTGGTAAAAGATAATGCTTAGGTGCTTAATACTGTAAGATAATGCTTAATACTGTAATACCCCATGAAGAGGAATTACAGTATTAGATTTTCACTCCAATTACTATTTAAAATCTTTACCTTATGCGTAATTAACGTATTTGAACGGCTAAAAGTCTTCTCACAGATATCACATCTATACTTTTTTACATTGGATGAACGATGAGGACCTCCAATTCTACATCCATTTGTTGTTGAATGGGGCCCTCGATTTTGTTTTGTTAAAATTTTCTTTTTCAATTCAATTCTTTAAAAAATTATTTGTTAAAAGTATTTCGGTGATATGGTCGTTTGCGGTTTTTACTCCTATTTATTCTTGGTTTTAGTGGTTTGGATTATTTGGATTTAAAACATAAGGACAATATATGGGACTATACGTTGCTTAATTGTATCTTATTAAAGAAAGAACTTAGTAAAAGTAAAGCCACCGGGCAGAATTCGAACCTGCGACCTCCTGTCAGTTATTGCTAGGCGTTTCTACTTTACCGTTTATACATAGGAGCTCTACCACAGAGCTACCGAGGCATCGACTAATGCTTTCTCTTCTATCCTTTTTAGATCGTTTAAACCCGCTTAAGCGTTTTAAATTCTGCTAGTTGTATCATCCTTACATTAAATTGTAATGTTCTGACTTTTAAAACTCATTAAAACAAACAAAAAATAATAGCAACTACATTATGATCTCTAAGATACAAAAGCCTAAATCTAAATAATCTCTTGAAATCCAGGAATAATCACTAATAAAAAATAAATTAAAAGTAAAATGAAGGAGGGGGGGGGGGGGGAGGTTAAGTAATGGTTATTACAAAATAAAATTCCTTACTTATTTTGCCTTTTCGATTGTATTTGCGACAAATTTTTAACAGCATTTTCAGCCAAAAATTTATTCGAAAATTCTCTTTGATTTGTATTTTTATGAGTGATATTGTTTTTGTGCAATTTATTTGTTGATTGGTTATTGTTGATTGTAAAAGTGTTGCGAGAAGCTTTAAAAATATTTTGGATTAAAGATAGGGACTTTGATTTAAAGTAATAATTAGAGTCGGTATTTTGTGCTGCACGGTATTCCGTACTGAAATACCGAAAAATACCGATAATGAAAAAACCGATCAACCTAAAAATTTTATCGGTGGGTATTTGTAATCGACATCGGAGAATTGTAAAATCCTTATAAGATTTTATTAAATATCAATCCCAATAGGCTATTCACAGATTCCTAAGCCGATTTTAAGCAGGAATGGCAATAATCTGATTTTTAAAAAAATTATTTTAACTTATTGTTAAATATCTTGTTCGCCTTATATTTTTAAAATTCTCATAAAATATCAAAAAATTAAAACGTACACTCCAAATTTACTTTAAAAGTAATTAATAAAATTTTCTTCATTTTAAATTTACCATTAGAAGAATTTCCAAAATCATCTCGATTTCCAAACAAATTCCTTTCTAAAGCTTTCCTTTTTATCATTTCCTGATTTGCTAGTATAAATGTTTGCATTGGGTTTTGACGTCGTAAAGCGGCTGAGGCTAGAAATTGCTGCCAACAAAGAGACTGTTGTTGAATTAATATTGGGGGAGGTTTTAATTGAAAACAATTTAAATTATTTGGTAATTCTTGTTGAGGGAATTGGAAACGTTGTTGGGCGTTGAGGGAAGGGAAGGTAGCTGATAATTCTGCAACTGATGGAAATGGTCTGGAAATTAAAGAATTGATTAAAACTAGGGTTGTACATAACAGATTATTAGCAGGAACCCCCGGTTTTTGACTTCCGATATTCGGTTTCGGTTCATGATTGACCCCCAATTTTTGGTATAACAAAACCGGTTTTGGCTGAATTTTTCATCCAGAATACCCCATTCATATTTTGTCTCCAGAATATCCATTTATAATATTCTATGCTGAATTTGCATGATTAAGGTGATTTTGATTAATGAGAGAATAGAGGGATTAAGAGTCATTCAAAATTATGAACTAGATTAAGATGAGATATGGGATTTGTGATAATAAAGTGAGATTAATTTAATTTTTAACACCCGAGTCGATAGAATTGGATTCTCTAGGATTGTTTTAAGTGTAGACTGGAAGTTTTGGAGAGCAATAAGTGTATGTCTGTCAGTATTTGGAAACTTAGAATTTGCTCGTAAACATACTCAACAAAGGTATAAGTGATAATTTTGGAAATATCTCCTAAACACTCGTTATAATATATAAATATTACCCAGAATTAAGAATATTAATATAGTTATTTGAAGGAATTTGTCTTGTATTAGAATTATGTATGATTTGGCTGCCATTGTTTGACAAGTGTTGCTGGAAAAGCCTAACTCGCTGTAAAAATTCCATGGAAGCTGCCGCTGCTGTTGCTGCTGCTACTGCCTAAAAATAATCAAAATTTACTATATATAGTTATAAAATTTAATATTACCATTTTTTGTTGAGGCGGCTGTTGTTTAAAAGAATTTTGCGAATTATGTTGTTGTGGTGCTTGTGGAGAATTATTTAATGATTTGAATTCAGTCTCATCAGCAGAGTTAAGATTGTTTGAATCTGGTTGGGATTGGACAGCAGGCAAAAGCTTAAAACAAAATTGCATAAGAGATAATACTCTTAGCGAGAACCGAAACTTTACTAAGAAATATTCTTAGGGTGTTTTCCTTGCAGTAATGTTCTGGCAGTTATTGCTAGGAGCTTTCGCTCACCACGTACAGGAACTCTACCGACTGAGCTACCGGGACACTGCTTTCACCTTCTCTTTTAATAGATCTTAAACCCCCGCCTAGTGACCGTTTTAAATGCTCGTAGCCACCAGGATCTTTCTCATCCCTACATCATTTTGTAATATCTTGATCCTCAAGTCATACCACTAATTTATCTGTACCTTCATTAAAGCATCCAACAAAGATTTTCTTTGCTCAATCTCATCTTTATTCTTCTCATTCCTCATGTTTTCTTCATTATCAAAATGGCTAAGGCTAGGAAGAGTTTCTTCAATAGCTTATTCTTTATCATTATTTTCATTCCTTGCTTCTTCTTGATTCTCTTCAAAATCCACTTGACGTATATTTTCATTTTTATCAAAGCATTCTTTCTGATCCCTCACAGTGTTACAAAATTTGGTCTTAATTATAAATTAATATAAGATTGAGAGACACAGCAACATAAAACAGGCAGAGGGTGCAACCAGCGTTTCAGTGCGGGAGTATGGTTTAGTTGGTTAGTGGCAGCGAAAAATGCAAGAGGTTCGAATCCTTTCAGTGAAAATTAATTATATAATAAGGAAATCCTAATAATATCTTTTCTAATTAACATTTAATGTCATTTTAAATTAAAATAAATTTTTTCAAAACAATTTTTTCCTTTATTTTTCATTTTCTAAATTTACTTATAAAGCCATATGTAACTTTTTTTAAACATATTAAAAATCAATAAATTTGGTTTTAAAACAAAGATAAGACTTTGTTTAACGATTTGGCTAAGTTGAAATTTTTTTCTCAAAGTTTTTTTCCGAGATAAGGCTTCTCGAAATTATACATCAAATCTTTGGAGAAATAGCATGCGAAAAAAATAGAGCGATATAGAAAAAGAGAAAATTTTTTATTTATTTCAGTGCCACTGAAACGGCTCTAAGTTGCAGGTTATGTTGCTGTGAGAGAATAATAATTTAATAATAATAACCGAAATAATTTCAAATTATGTTTTGGTGTATTTCTAAAGTTTTAACTTTTCGTGTAACTAAGCTAAAAGATGCTTTTCTGTCATTGATGCTAGGGATGGGTGTAGGGTTGTTGGTTCTGAATCGAACCAAACAGAACCGAAGAACCGATGATTTTTCGGTTCGGTTTCGGATATCCGAACAATTGCCAAAAACAGACAACCCTAGATTCTATTCAGTTATTTATTAACTTTCGGGTCTTTTTAACTATCCCCGTCTACACGTTTATCACTGGCAAAAAATCAAAATATTAATTGAATTTCACCTCATTTGCCTTATTATTCGAAGCGGCTTCAAGGCGTTTCTGTCTTTGTTCGAGGAGAGTGTCTATCAAGAAACATTTTCGTTGTTTTTGTAAAACTGTGATATTGCTGCTTGATGGAATTGTTGTGGAATTTGGAATATTTTTCATTTTTAATTTATTTTCTTAAGCTAAGAAAATTTGTGAAAAATATTCAGATATTTTAAAAAACAAACAATGAAGAAATTAAAACAAAGAAATCTAAAAATATTTTATGAGTATAATAATCCTAAAAAATAATACTAAATTTCGTATTTGTGTATGTTAAAAGAACATGACTTATCAATATTGCCTCAAATCTTTGATTCACGAATAGGGATGGGGCACGGTTCGGCCTGGTCCGTAAGATAGAGCCGGGCATCGAATCTTGGCCCTAAAAAGACTCGGTCAGGCTAATCCGATAAAGATGAAGCTGAAATAATGACCCCAAAACTATTCACAAATATTCTTTACTAAAAATCAGTTAAGCAAATATGCTTCGATTTATCGTAAAATAATAGCTCTTTTTCAAATAAAAAGAATTTTTAGAATAGAATTTTTTAAAAATTTTCCTTCAATTTAACTAATGTTAAGTTAGGTAAGGTGTGAAAGAAATTTCTACGCCTCAATAAGATAACTGTTAAAAATTTTCTCATACAATTAAGGAGTAAATGATCTAATTTTTAGTTATTTTTTCAAATATTTTAATTAATTTTCTTCTCTAATTTATCAAAAAAAAAATAGAAAAGATATAGTAGTATTTGAAGTACTTTTGCCATACTTGCCCATTTATTTATCCAAAACAATTTATTCGCTATTTTAGCTGCTCATTAGCGCTTAAAAAAGATGCACACACGCAAATAAATGTTTGGCAATTAGTTGAATGGAAAATTTGCTTGCCATTCAAGGAAAGGTAAAAAATGTGTTGGATTGTGTGACAGGAATCTGGCCATTTTCTATGAATAACGGACTAGCTAGGAAGGGGAGAAACGAGAATGATGGCGCTTCAGGACGGCATTTGGCGCCATCGCCTGGCCGTTCATGAAATTGGCACGCAGGAAATTACGATTCCGCTCATCAGCTCATTCACAGGGGAAAAGGAAAGGGAATGAAGGTATATATACTAGTTTAGTTGGGTGCGCGACTATTCACTAATGGCATCCCAACTGAAAAGCATAAAACGCAGAAGAGCTACTATTCCTAAAAGAATTTGTGTGGATGTCGTGCCAACAGGGAATGGATGTGAATAAATAAATAAATATGTGAGTATAAAACTTCCTGGATTTTGTATACCTCAAAAACAATGAAAAGCCGACAATATTATTAAAAAATTATTGGAATAATATTTGAATAAATATTTGTTTTGAGTTTAAAAATTATAGAAAAATTTACTGACAAAATCATTTGATCTATCAAGGAATACTACAAATTAGCTTCCACAAGTTACATTACTACTAGGGTTGGATTTTTCGAACCGGGCCGTTCGATTCTTTTGTGGGCCTCATTTTTTCGGGCCGAACCGGTCGAGTCTTTTTCGGGCCAAAATCCGAGGTCCGGCTCGATCTATCGAACCGAACCGGGCCCCCAACCCTAATTACTCAAAATTTAATATTTTAAGGTAACCAACTCCGAGTAGAGTAAATACAATTTTATTGGAGATTCGAGTTGTTGAAAAATTGAAAAAATACCCCAGACCTTTTAAAAATAAATTTATTTTAGTAACAATCTTAAATTATTCAGACACAATTTATTAACTAAAAAGTTCTAATAATTTTGTATAAACTTTTTTAGATACAAAATTAATTATGATATCATTGAGGATTTATTCGTAAATATTTTTTTAATTCGTAGACTAAATTTAAATTATTTCTGGAATTTAAAATTTTAAATAAGGAAAGTTTAAAAAGAATAAAAATAAATTATTTAGAAATTTTATGAAGGTGGGGGGCTTTTAATGGTAATAAACGTCAAAAAGGATTAAAGTTTTTATGAATTAAAAAAATTTTTTATAAAAAATATTTAGATATTAATAATTTATTTAAAATAATGTATTTATAGAAAATTAAATAATGTTAATAAAAAATATTAAGGAGGTATTCTGTATTTATTTAAGAAGTGGAAAGAGTGGAAAAAATAGTGGAAAAAATAAAAGACAATCATATTATAATTATAAGAATGGAAATCATTATTTCAAAAAATCGAGATTCTCGTGAAATCTCAAAAAAAATAAAAATATTTTTTAAGCTAAAATCTCTTCAAGAGATGACATTGATATCAGAGAACTTATCGAATAATAAATTCTGGATATTTGAAAATAAATTAAAAGCCACGGCTCTAAAAAGACACGGATCTAATAGAATTGAATAAAATAATAGAGTCAATATTGTGAGCGATGTTGGTTATAATCCTGAAGAATTAATTTTGGCACAAATAATTAAAAAAGTTATAAAAAGGCCTAACTACTGATTTCCGAACAAACATTTTACAAACAAATAAGAAGGACCACGCCTTTTTCTTTAAAAATATTCCTTATACTATTGGTTTTTTGCATTTGTTTTTGTACGAAGTTATTAAGGATATACAGAAAACTCTGGCCAGAGTTTTCAAGATCTCCCAATAAACTCCGTTCCAAAAAACCTCGACACCCCCCAATTTTCCAGATAAATCGACTTACGGTTGTCTACTTTTTTATAATCTTTTTATAGACTGATTCAGCAGCAAAAACTACCCTATTTTACAAAAATTTTTGCAAACTGATAATTTTATCAAAAGTTATGATAAATTTTCAAAAAATCATGCGTTCCAAATATCCTCAAACAGTTTGTAAAAATACTGATAATTACGGAAAAAAATTTTCTAAAATTTAACAAAAATTTCTATAAACATAACTATCAATAAGCTACAAAATAGAAAAAAAAACTAAGTCAAAAACTGCTTCCATCATCGAGATCTCAAATCTCGAAAATCAACGGAAAATAGGGTTACAGTACTTTAAAAAATATTTTTTACCTAATACAGTATGCCTATAAATTTCATTTTATACTTTTTGAATAGCCCATAAAATTTGCTACAAGTTACAAAAGGGCTCATCTTTCTAAAAAATTTATCAGTGTCGGCATTCAAGCTTAAATAAATAGCATACCAAAAATAGCCTAAAAATGCACTATTATCGGCAAGAGGTTATTCTAGCTTGAGTATTTACCGGATAAATTTTTTTAGAAAATTATGTTATTTTGTATCTTGTAGCAAATTTTATGGGCTTTCAGATAGGTTTAAAGAAAATTTTTAATATATGCTGTAAATGGGATAAAATATTTTTTAAAGTACTGTAACCCTATTTTCCGTTGATTTTCGAGATTTGAGATCTCGATGATGGAAGCAGTTTTCGACTTAGTTTTTTTTTCTATTTTGTAGCTTATTGATAGTTATGTTTATAGAAATTTTTGTTAAATTTTAAAAAATTTTTTTCCGTAATTATCAGTATTTTTACAAACTGTTTGAGGATATTTGGAACGCCTGATTTTTTGAAAATTTATCATAACTTTTGATAAAATTATCTGTTTACAAAAATTTTTTGTAAAATAGGGTAGTTTTTGCTGCTGAATCAGTATATAAAAAGGTTATAAAAAATAGACAGTCGTAAGTCGATTTTTCCGAAAAATTGGGGGGTGTCGAGGTTTTTTGGAACGGAGTTTATTCTATTAAAAAATATCTTTTTGAATTATATTTAGAGGTTCAAGATAAGAGAATTTTAAAATAATTTTTACCAATTGACACATGCAAAATATTATCAAAATCATCAATATTTCGATCAAGATTTGATTTTGACATTTCCCCAGACCTGCTCACGGATACTGATTTTTGTATCCGTATCCGGATATTTACGGCGAATACAGGCGGTTATCAGCAGGTATTTTGTATTATCTGTATCCATGAGCAGGTCTGCTTTTCTCATTCAAATCATACAAATCTAGTTCTAAAATTCAAAAAATAATTATTTAATTTATTCAATAAAGCAAAATCCTTTTTAACCAGAAAAAAGATTTTCCTCAAATTTTCTAAAGCTTTTCCTACTCTAAAACTATAAAAAAATAAATATATACACAGCATTCATTAGCCATTCAAAAGCTTTGTCCGGTTAACCATTCATTGGTATTGTTCTCTAGAATTTTTAAAACTCCATCCAACCTTCTTTTGTTTAGCCAAATATGAATGGAAAGGCAGGAGGAGAGGAGTATTTTTGTTTGTTTGCCTCTATAAAGCTTTTTAAGCTCCTCCTCCTCTTTTTGAGGGAACAAGCGGCTCAATCGGTGAAAAAAGAAAGGAAAATTTTTCGAAAAAAAAGTTAAGGAAATTTAACTAAAAATTCAGCTTTTTCTTTTGTTTTTTAAAAGGAAAAATATTTTTCTTAAAAATATTTTTTATAAATTTTTCCGATACAAAAATAACGTTAAAATGGTCGCCAGGGAATTTAGAGGAAGAGGAAAATGAAAATAACTTCCGTGGAATCGTAAATGAGTCTTTTTTAATAATGAACAAAACGAGAGGCTTATTAATTGCTTTTATGTAGAAGGAAATAAATTTTTTTAAAAAGCTTATAAAAATATATAAGGAAATTTAGAATGAAATTAAAGTAAATTTTGACGAATTTATTTTTAACAAGTGTCTGGATTGGAATTACAAGGTAGTACATAGTATGTTCTGATGATGAAGAAAGCAGATCTGTTGCGTATTTTGAGGGGAAACAGCGATTTAGTTTTAGTAGCACCAAGACTTTTCTGAAAATCTAAAATTTCGGATAACGTCTAGGAAATAAGTTTTAAGCGAAAAATAGAATTGGTCAAAACATGCAAATGATTGTTTTATTGAACTAATTGTTTTGTTGAACCTTGAACTAAGCGGTGCAAAAGGGGATTTGAGATTAAGAGGGATATCAGGAGATTAAAATGTGAAAAGTTTGTTGTAAAAAGTAAAAAGTTCCATGGAAGAAGATCTTGGAGGAAATATTACTCCTTGCATTTAAAATGCTCAAAAATTTCGCCTGTTGCGCAGAAAGTGGATTGAATTTCAAAGCCTTCCAAGATTCAAAAATTATCGCATCAACGGTTAAAATTTAAAACTTGCTGTCCTGGACTC